ACTGGTGCAACCTTCGACTTCCTGAGCACAAATCCAGTTTTAGAGGAACCATCTGGGTAGAGTACATTCACATAAGAAACAGCAGCTACTGCTTTCTCTGATGCATCACAAAACGTCCAAAGTTCTTTTCTCACAGCCTTACTGAGGTATGGTACAGTCACACGGGGAATACATAGATCTTCTAGAGCCTTGAGTGATAAGCTCCACTCTATCCATCGTAACATGAGGTAGTCTGGTAGCGGTTCATCCCAATCTACAGTTTCTGTGACTACGTCTCGCAGGATAAGTTACCATTGATAATAACGTGAGAGAGGAATCCTAACGGATCAAAGATGCTGTTCACTGTTGAAAGTACGCCTCTACGTGACAGTGGTTTATCTTCTGTTGTAATGCTGAATTTGAACGAATCTGCAGTCAAGTTCCACTGAATGCCAAGACTTCGTTGCATTAACAGATTCTTATCGAGATCCAGATCAAAAATGTCCTTCACCAAGTCTTGTGGCTCAAAGGCACTCATCACTTCCAGACTGTTAGACGCAAACTTATGCAGCCGCAGTCCTCCGTACTCTCTCATAGCAGCTTGTGTTCTCTGTATCAAGTTGATAGCCTCGACTGTTGTTGAACATGATGTTAAGCCATCATCAACATAGAAGTTCCTTGTAATGAATTCCTCTACATCTGCACCATGACTGTCCTTTGACATGTGAGCTATCTTCATCAAACCTGATGTAGCAACTGCAGGGGAGGGGCTATTCCCGAAAACATGTACTTTCATTCTATATTCTATTAACTTGCTGCCAACTTCACTGTCCTTGTACCATAGGAATCTTAGGAAATCTCTGTGTTCTTCTTTTACGGTAAAGCAATGGAACATGTGTTGCACATCTGCTACAACTCCAATCATCTCTCTCCTGAAGCGAATCAAAACTCCAAGTAAATTGTTTGTGAGGTTAGGGCCGGAGAGCAGTTGGTCATTCAGAGATGTACCTTCGTACTTCGCGGAGGAATCAAATACACCCCTAATTTGGTGAGGTTTTTGCGGGTGGTAAACCCCAAAGAGTGGTAAATACCATCTTTCTTGGTTCCGCTGTAATTGTGGTGCTTTTTCAGCATGGTCGTTATCGAACAGCTTTAACATAAAGGTTGTGAAGTGGTCTCTTTTAACTGGATTTTTCTTGAGACTAGCATCTAGAGCCTTCGCACGTCGTAACGCAAGTTCATAGTTGTTCGGTAGGGGTTGTCGAGGTTGACGGAATGGTAGAGGAGCTACCCACTTTCCATCTGGACCTATGACTAACTCTTCCTTCATAATGTTCGTGAATATTCTATCCTCTACTGATGTTCCAATCTTATTGTCATTCCTTGTGCGTTGGAACAAGGCCTCGTCACGATCAGCATCAAAGTGTGTCTTGGCAAGGTCATTCTTCAAAAACTGATCCTTTACTGAAATAATCTGGTCACAAGGTTCAAGAATAGTTCTGCGACCATTCTCAATAATAAAGGTCTTGAACACTGTGGCGACTTTCGGAATGTGTTTTCCAGATAAACATGTATCACCGATAATCGTCCAGCCTAATGGTGACCTTTGAGCGAAAGGTTCCTCTTCCTGTCCTATTCGTTGTTCTATCACATGGTGAGCTTGAGGAAGATCTCTTCCTATCAGTAACATGATTTTCTTTGAAGTGTCGACTGGTGAAAAGGAACTCACAATATCTCGCATATGTGAATAATGAACGGCCACTTCTGGAGTGGGAATCTCTAGATAGTTGTTTGGTATTTCATCACATTCTAGGACACATGGAAGTTGAAGCCTTGTCTGACGGTCTGCTGACTCAATGAACAATCCTGATGCTGTTCTGCCTGATGTCATCACCTGTCCAGAACAAGATGTCATCAGATACTGTATTGTCTGTGAATTTATGCCCAATAAGTCAAACAGTTCTTTCTTTGCTAAAGTCTTGTTACTTTGATCATCTAACATAGCATATAAAGAGACAGCTTTTCCGTGATAGGTCACTGTCGCAGGAACTATCCTGGCACAGGATTTTCCTTTGAATTCTCCACTAATTTCCGTACAGCTACTGTTCATTGTTGTCACATGTTCACTGGGAACAACAGGTTGTTTAGGGGGTTCCTCCCCGCCATGGACTGGTGCACGTTTCTGTTTCTCAACATTGCCACTGGAAGCTGAAGTGCTGTCCATATGCAATGCTGTGATGTGAGATTCACTTCCGCAGTCTTTGCACTTAATGTTTGCCTTGCAGTCAACTTTTCTGTGAGTTCCAGAACAACAACGAAAACATAGTCCATGCTCTCGCATTAGTCTCCTGCGTTCTTCCAGAGATTTCGACTTAAACACTCTACAGTAAGCAACACTGTGTTTCACCCCAGGTCCCTTATGAATCACACATCCATCATCCTTAGGATCTTGGGAATTAGCTGATTCAGTCTGTTGGATCACAGTTGTCTTTTTGGTGCTCACTTTTCCCTTGAATGCAGTCAATGGTTGTTGGTTACTGTCACTGTGATACTTTAAACTGGGATCATTTCTGATTCTGCTCATCTCCTTGATAAAGTCAACAAAGATGTTAAATGGAGGGAAGATGGCTCCATGTGTATTTTTATATTTTACGGCACGGTTGGTCCACTTTTCCTGTATGGAATACGGCAATTTGGAAATTATTGTCCTTATTCCCACTGAAGAATCCAAATAAGATAACATGCATGAATATTTGGGATCCTCCTTTAGAAACTGTAATTCCATGAGGATGTCAGATAGCTCGTAAAGTTTCTCGTCGTCCTTATTTCCTAGTTTCGGGAAGTTGGAGAGTTTAGCCCTAATGGAAGCTTCTACAAGTTCTGGAGCCCCATAACGTTCATCCAGGCGATCCCAGAGCCGTTGTAATCCCTTAGATAAATCAAAGATATTTGATGTCTTGATGCTTAATGCATGTTTTCTTGATTCTGGTCCTAGGTATTTGATCAGGAGATCCATTTGTTCGGACGCCATAATTTGTAGTTCGTTCACAACAGAAAGGAAATTTGATTTCCACGCACAGTATGTTTCTGGTTTGTCATTAAAGCTAGAAAGTCTAGAAAAGAGTAAGTCTTTCCTAAGTAGAAATCGAGTTACGTCAGCCACTTGAGGTGAGGTCTGTTGATGTGGAATGTATGGCGGAGCATATGGGTTCATATGTATGACAGGAGAAGCCTGCAAATCAACATGACTCGTTGTTCCTTGGGTCAGTGGAGGTTTGGTTTCCTTGACCACAGCTGCCATTGGTGACATACATCCCATAGTGGATTCCAGCATCTGACATTCCGCCTCTGCCTCTTCTGCCTCTCTCTGCAGGTTCAGTACCTCGAGCTCTGCTTCTATCTCTGCTTGCTTTTTTCGTAGTTCTAATTCCTTTATCGCGTACTGAATTTTCACCTTGGCTGCCTTTGCCTCTGCTCTTTTTCTTGCAAGATCGTCAGTGAAGAGAGTAAATTCACTTGACTGAGAAGTAACACTGTGAATACTTCCACTGTCTGAAAGGTCCACCTTGTTCTTTACAGGGTCTGCCTGTGTAACGTCATGGTCATCCTTGTTGGACAATGAAGCATTGGTCTCTGGTAGTGTTCCATCACCATGTTCCAAGGTTGATTCAGTTCCTGTTTTCTCCCTCTGTGTGCTCATTCTGAAGTCTTTTTACTGTTCTGCCGCAATAATGACTTTATTCAATACTGAGCAGAAAGATAACCATATAAAGATATGGTAAAAAGCTGTAATAACAAAATAAGAAAAATTAATGACAGCTATGGCTTTCCGTAGAAAAATTTTCACAAACAGATGTTCTTAATAGTAAAGCAAGCAGATTAACAATTTACACAATAATTAACAATTTACACAATAATAATATTTCTTAAATTGTATGAATAGTTAAGCGTATTACTTCAAAAAGACAAAAATATGTATTCACTGAAAAATATAGATGACAATACACGATTCAAAAAACTGATGTAAATTATGGCGCGCCATACTCTGAACACATGGAATTCAAAGATTTACAAAATTTAAGAAAATGCAAAAGTTAGCATCTATAGCATTTAACACACAAGTAAAATAGATAATGACCAAGAGATTTACCATAAAATAAAATCTATTATCAACTTACACTGTAGATAGCTGGGGTTCCGACAGAAAGACAAAAATCAACGAAGGTATGGCGGCAATCTTTAACAAATTAGGTCGTACAAAAAATATTAGTTCGTACTTCGAACTATTCTATAATATACAGCCAAAATACGAAAATTATGAAAATGAAGCCAAAACACTATATTATACAATATATGTAAGAAACACAAAATTCTACCGTCTTGTTACCAGAGGGTGCATCTCAAAATGCAAAAAATTAACAAATTTTACTATTTTTATAGATTATTAAAAAATATGACGTACACAATGGATTCACATGAAAACATAATAGAAATATTGGAGATATTCTCAAATTTCTATGTTTTAAATTTCAAGAGCGTATGTTTATTACTTTTTCTTTAATAATATTTTTATTACCCCTTTCTTTAAGAGCTACAGATTATCATAACGTCAAAAACACACTGCAACGACGTCAACCTACCTATCAATTGCAAAATCGGTTAAAAAATCAGTTATATCAAATTCTAATTAAATTTTTATACCTATAATTTCTTAATTTTGTTTAATTTTAATAATTAAGCGAGAAAAGTTGCATTAAAACAGTAAATACGCTTCATTTTACTATGATGCGCGAAATATTGCGCAATGGAAACTATAGTCGGCCCCCTTAAATAAAGTTTGTCCTTTTAACCTCCTTTTAATACTTCAGAAATTCTATCTATAAATTTTATCTCAATAACATATTGTATATTATCAGTATATGAACAAGCAACACTAAAGAATTGATTTTTTTCTAATTTGTTTCCCGATCCCGCATTTGCACCCCTACTAATGCTATTGTTATTTAAATTTACATCACGTGGTTTCTCTTGAACTAGTCAAAGGTCATTAGGTTCGCAGTAAAGGAGAACGTTCACACCTATAGTCTGTTTTCTATATATAACCCAGATCTTGAAAAATAGTTACGAGCAATTCCTTTATTTTACAGTTATAGATACACATCAAATGTTAACAAGATTTCTGTTATCATGGTTCAGGAACATTTAATACTTAGGGTTCCATATCCAATAAATCCATCCGGGCACGGAAAAGGGGGTGGGTGGCAGTTATTTGGATTTCAGAGCTAGTGCTATAAGTAAATATTAAATGATACAAAAATATTTTTTTAATGAAAACTGAATTACATGCAATCTAAATGACTCAGAAACTCAGAACCTGGATCCCTAAACATGTCAAGTTGGTTAGACATGCAGGAAATTAAAACTCCTCCCCCCGAAACAAACACAATTTCTTTTTTTTCCAACTTCTTTTTATTTGGAAAGGAGGGATGAGACCCATCCATCCTGCTTCTCAATATTTTTTCTCCCATTTTCATACTTCTTTATTTTCAACCCTATCTCTAGGGTTTAATAAATTTTCCAGAGCACTTAGGATATTTTTATTAAAGGCATGGATGGTTCCAGGAATTCTTTGTCCACATGAGTGGTGGGGGTGGTGTTGTTACATACCAACACCCTTAGTCAGAATCATAAAACCATAAAATTGGGGGGGGGGGGTAACAAAAATGTATGAAAACACACACACAAATCTAATTTCCTAGTCATACCTAAATTGATTTGGCAAACTTCAAAGCCTTATTACCCTTTTAAATCTAGCTGACTGTTACATGTAGGTGTCACATGATCATGATCTTACACATACTTAGTATATCCCTGTCCCCAATGTCAAGTTGGACTAAAATGTTCACATTTCTTCACCTTGTGCCTTTTTCATAGACCCAAAAGCATTTAAATAAATATCTAGAATATATACATGTAAGCTCTTTTTACACCCAGTTCCTTTTAACTGAGATCATACTTGAGAAAAGATCCAACAAGATGTTTTCTAAATATATGTTTTACCATATAAAATATATTATTTCTGTATTTTAATCGCACTCTGTGAAATATTTTGAACCCCTAGCTGTATTAGCCAAACACTTCTGGCCACAGCTCCAATGAACAAGGTTCAATATATAATCATGTCATGATATAAAAATACTTTTTAATATTAGCACAGTTTATTTCAATATCATTAATACTTGTAAGAAAAGCAGATACTGAACACAATGAGGACATCTCTAAAACATATAAAATAAAGTTATCTCTTTGCTTTTTGTAAAACAGTCATGCATATATCATTCAGATTTTTTTTTAAATTGTGAACAGGGGAAATAACTCTTTGGCAAGATCAATTATTTGTACAGATATACATGTACATGTACATATTTTTTAAAATAGCCATTTCATTTGTCATATAAAGATGTACATGTACTAAAGACATTTACTCGGCTTGAGTTAAAATCAGCAGAGTTCAAAACAAGACCTTTCCCATGCTCCAAAATTAAATTTATTACATTTGTAATTGTACATAGAATGCACTACAAATCTAAGGTTAAGGGAGATAAATCAATAAAAAGCAATTTGAGCCGCAATTCAAACTTCATAAAAAATTGAAAAGTTCATGTTAAATTAAAACATTTTTGGTGTAAAATTGTGGTTCATTACTACAGTATTTCAATGACAGTAAAAGAAAGGATTATAAACTTCTATTATTCATACATGTACTTACATTAGAAAGTCTTTTTAGGAAATTCTGATTGAAAAAAAATTACATCTTTTATCCTTCAAAAAATATTGATTCCTATATATTATCGTTACATTATATATTAAGCTTTATACAGTTTTAAAATAAGCCATTATACTTATATATAACAAAATACTTAGTATTCATTGTCAACCAAACTGGATCAGTATCATTTCAACCAGAGAATGAAATCATTCAAAATTGATCACCATCATTCTGGCCTCATTACATTTGCTTCTGCGAGCATCTGTTTCATTCGACAACTGTTCTTTATTTTCCATGTAAAAAATACAAGGTCTCAACTCCAATCTTAAGGCAGTGCTGATATGCTGTCATCTTTTATAAATGCATGATCTGGATTTGAAAAAAAATCAAACATCAATTCAGAGATTATACATGTACATACTACAGATTCCTTATTTTTTGTGAGTTCTTATTATTGCAAAATAGCTCTTAAAAACATCAAATCGCAAGAATATATATTTGTGAATGGGCGGTTAATAAGGAGAATGTGCATGGGTTTTAGTACCATAAAAATAAAAGTGAAACATTCTATTTTGAAAGTGAATATGCTACATGCAAAATTGCAATAATAAATTCCTTGTGTTTAATAAGGAATTTACAGCATATCACATCAGTCTGTTGTTGTATACATAAAATTGAGTAACTTTTAAAATAATCACACAATAAATTGTGTAAAATGTACTCAGATTTATAATTTACTATAAGCCTATATGGACCATGATGCTCCTCTGAGACATGTCAATTGAAAGTTTTTTCCTTAAACATGTTAAAAATGACATTCTACACATGAAAAGTGTGACTAATCCCTAGGTCAGGGTCATTCAAAAAGAAGTCACAATATTAAGTCAAATAATATTTCTGTGTAAAAAAAGAAATATCCAGCCAGTGTCAAATCAGTAAATAGGGGTGGATACATTAATATTTTGTGAATTAATTTGTGTCATTTCTTGTCAGGAATTCCAGATTTTAATTCAAAAGCACTCATGTATCCACTCCTTTAAATGTGCAGATCTGAATCTGCAAAAAGACTGCTAATTAAGTTTTGCATAAATATGAGAGGTGTGTTCCCATTTCGCCTTAACTGTCATTGTGTCATTTAGTCTAACCATCCTCCTGAAAATATTTGCTTTCAATTGGTTTGGGACAAACATGAATGTACCTAACAAGAATCAGTTTTCAAAAGTACAATGTACATGTATAGTTCAAATTTGTAAATAGTAATATCAAATGCATCATTCTTGAAGAAAATTGCTGATCTCAATCAAAACCTAAATCTTCTTTGAAATTAGCCATCCTCCCATTTGAGATACAAATTCCAACATCCAATTTAAAAATACTGAACCTCCTCCCCAATGTGACATGTACATTTTCATATGTTCATTTTCGAATTAAATAAATAAGAAAAAAGTGAAGCATTCTGCCAATTTATCTATCATTTCATACAATCAGCCTCTCAAAAAGATTTTAAGATTTCTTTGTGGACAAAGGGCATGCTTTAAATACATGTCAGTTAATGAAAGCATGTGTTGAACTTTTCTTAATATAATATGCAATATCATACCAAATTTTTGCATGCATGTTCAAAATCAACAATATTACCGTGATAACCCTGTCCAACACGTTCCATTTCAATGGTTCCTTTTCCTCATCCTTCAAGAGTTTTAAGGAGTTTCAATATCCACGTCCACAAAGGTTTTAAACCTTCTTTGTCAAAAACACCTATAAATAGAGTGAAATATTAATGCATTTGAAATAGTGTGTATTATAATGTTAATTTCTTCTTTGATGTCAAGGAAGTTCAGAAGGTCATGTGTAAGAAATTTATCAATGAATATTGTCTTCAGGAATATAGTCTACAGAATTTATGTGCGCACAGTTCACTGTTATATGTATTTGTATAAACATTCAGTATAATATAATAAATATAGCATGTAGTTGAGTGTACCATTGAAAATTTTCACCCCTCGAAAACCATTGTCAACCTCCGCTGCACCTCGGTTGACAATGGTTTTCTTTGGGTGACAATTTTCAATGTTACACTCAACTGCATGCAATATTTATCAGTTTATATACTGTCTCACTCATGAAATAATTTCCATATTCAACTACAAAACATTGAATATCCTCAATATACATGTGAACACTTAACTGTACTAAACAAGAGGCCCATGGGCCACATCGCTCACCTGTAGCTTTGACCATGCTGTTCTTTACCAAATTCCCCCACTGTAATACATATTGTGACCCAACCCTCCCACATTGGTCATAATTTGGACAATTTAAAATCTACACTACACACGGATGCTTCCACACAAGTTTCAGCTTTTCTGGCCCAGTAGTTCTTGTGAAGAAGATTTTTAAAGTATTTTCTTATATCTTTCAATTTAAAACTTGTGTCCCCTATTGTGGCCTCGCCCTACCCCCGGGGGTCATGATTTGAACAATTTACATACACTACCCTATGATGCTTCCACATAAATTTCAGTTTTTCTAGGCCAGACAACAGGTGATAAGAGAAACTCACTTGAGTTTTTTGCTCAGGTGAGCTAAAATCTTTATCTCTTCTGTCGCCCTTTCTTTCGGGGCTTTGTACCCTATCCTCCAGGGCAATGATAACAAATCTATATATGCTACATGTTTACATGTCAAGACAGCATTCATGTCTGGACTGTCCTTAGGAAGAAGGCATTGCATTTTCTTTAAACTTTTTTTTTCTTATAACCTTTATTCCCTTGTTCAAGAATACTCAATTGTGTCAAGTTGGTTGAAAGTGGCCCAGTGGAGAATGTGAAAGTTTATATACAAAGATGACAACAAGGGCAACAATACTCACAATAAGTACACCAATATACAACAGACAAATTTTAATCAGAAACTCCCTTGAGCCTCTGGACCTAGGGACTTACACTTTTGACAAATCCTTCTTTGTGTGTATTTTGAAATTGCCTCTGTACATGTTTTTATGTCTCAGTGGAAAGTTTCTTGATGTTCTTGAACAGATTTTCTTATTTGTTTGTGATCCTGACATCATCCTGTAGATGATAAATTGTCCAAATCTCTGTACCACTACTGTCTTTCAATATATTAGGGGTATGATCATGATGATGGGCGACTGGCATACAACATCAGAATACTGATGTGAAATAGCATTCCTGTAGAGACCTGAAAGTTAAGGCTCAGTGTTAAAAGTTAATCAACAAGAAGGCAAAAGTTGTACAACATTTCATAAATGATAAAACCATTTAATTAATATCTTATAGTCAAGATCTAGTAATTACTGTTTGTCACAACTGACCTCAAGTTGTGATGGATTCTTTATAGAATTTACTAACCAAAATAAATAATATTTTGGAAGACCTCCTGTGTACCAAGAAACAACAAGATTTATAAAAATTAACAATAAATTTATCTACATATGTACAATAAACATGAAACCGGCCAAAAGTTCAATCATGGTCATTACTGGACAAATTCACACTCCACACCACGTCCATGGTCCACCATATTGTCCCTGTGGTCCACCATAGTGTCCCGTCCGGTCCACCATATCCACGTAGCCTTACCACGTAAATAAATCCTCCCGTCCAAATAAAGCTAATATACAATTTTGGTCACCTACAATTTTCATAGGGTTTTCTAATCAAATATTCAAAATACATATTGTTCAATATACTAGATTTTACAAACAAATAACAAAAGAAAACATGTATTTTTGCCGTTTAACAAGTAAATGAATTAGAGCGTAAATATATACATTCTCGCTATATTGCTCACCGTTTTACATCGAATATTGCTCTTTAAAGCTAATAACAAAAATATTGTAAAGTATAAAAACTTACTGAGCTGTGGCATTTTACACATTAAAATTATACTGTCGGCCCCCAGGTCTTGCTCTCAACGCCGCTACAAAACATCCCTGAATCCCAAGATCACACAGCAGGGGAAACAGCTAGAACACACCCAAGTTCACACAGCATGGGATATATAAAAGGCACACCCAAGATCACTAAGCATGGGTAAAGTATAACTCACGGCGTCCAGACCTCTTCTGACACACACTAGCCAACACCCAGTATAAATAACTGACCAAACTACTCAAACGGGTTCGACGAGTATACGTTGATAAAAATAGAACAAATACAACTCAGTGACCAATAGTGCGTAAATGAAATAAACGATAACTCCTAACGCCCAAAATAAAGATAACTCTCACCAAATCCTGTACAATAAGCTAATATCAAACATTGACACAATGTCACTTGTGACAATACCTCCCTTCTTAAGACACAAAATGCAATTTTGTGACATAAATGGAAAACTATGTACACAACAAAGTCTTTATGAACACAAACTTACTCAGGAACAACACGACTGAGAAAATCAGCTCCAATGTTATCTACACCTCTAATAACTTCAGTTCTAAAGTTGAACGCTTGTAGAAAAAGAGACCATCTCATCAATCTGCTGTTTGAAACTTTAGTCTTTTGTAAATGGAGTAGTGGTCTATGATCTGTCTCCACAACAAACGCTCTTCCATACAAGTAAGACTGAAATTTCTGTATAGCCCATACGACTGCAAGACACTCTTTCTCCACAACCGAATAACGTTGTTCTCTGTCTAGCAGCTTCCGGCTTGCATACGCAACTGGAAATGTACGTCCATCATGCTTCTGCATCAGCACTGCACCAACTCCATGATTAGATGCATCAGTTCTTAAGATGAATGGCTTTGTCAAATCTGGTAATCTGAGAATTGGACTATAGAGCAACATAGATTTTAAACTCTTGAACGAATTATCATGTTCTTGTTTCCAGTCAAATTTGTTTGGAACACCTTTCTTGGTTAAATCAGTTAAAGGAGCAGCAATAGTGGAAAAGTTTGGCACAAATTTTCTGTAATAGCCAATCAAACCAAGGAAAGATCTAACCTGCTTCTTTGTCTCTGGCCTTGGTGCTTCTTGGATAGCTCTCAACTTCTTGTTGGTTGGCTGTAAGGTACCTCCTCCAATAACATGACCCAAGTACTCTAGTCTCGTCTGCGCTATCTCACATTTGGAGGGTTTTGCTGTTAATTGCGCTCTCTGTAGTCTCTCCAGCACTTTTCTTAGTTCTGTAACATGTTCTTCAAAAGTTTCTGTATGAATGAGAATGTCATCAACAAAACTATCAGTATGCTCTAAACCTTTGAGAATTTTCCGCATTAGCCTATTAAAAGTAGCTGGACTATTTTTCATACCGAAGGGCATTACTTTAAATCTGTACAAACCATCTGGTGTTAAAAATGATGTTAAGTCTCTGTCTTCTTCTCTCATTGGAATCTGCCAATATCCCTTACATAAATCAAGTTTAGAAAAGAAACGACTGTTACTAATTTTAGTCATGATTTCATCTGGATCTGGCATTGGTTCTGGATCAAAAATCGTTACCTTGTTCAAGTTACGAAAATCCACACATATTCTCTGGCTACCATCGGACTTCTTTGCCACGACAATCGAACTAGCATACGGTGATTCTGATGGTTCGATGATATCCATGTCAATCATATGCTGTATTTCTTCTCGGACTGCACTTCTGACTGCATACGGTATCTGATATGGTCTGTTTCTGATTGGTTCTTTGGTAGTGAGATGAACTTCATGCTGGATAACATTCGTTCTACCAGGTAGATCTGTTAAAACTTCCTGAAATTCATGTAAAACATCATTTATGTTTTCAAGCTGATCTGATGACAGTGAATGATTTACCTTGACATCTGTGAATGATTCTGTTGCTTTCAAAGGAAGAAGATGTAACAAATGTTCATTACTTGAGTCCTCTGTTTCCTCCGATTCCAAAACAACACAAGACGCTAAAGTTGTTGGCGAATCTGTGTTCTTTTCCTCTCGAACATTGTATTTCTTCAATAAATTTGCATGAAACAAACGAATATGTCCATTCATATCTATCTGGTAATCAGTTTGTCCTTTTCTATCAACTACTTTGAAAGGTCCTTTCCACTGCATTAAAAGTTTGTTATGGTCTGTTGGAAGCAAAAGAAGAACGAAATCACCAACCTTGAAAGATCTCGGCTTTGTTCTTTTATCATACTGTTTCTTGTAATGGTCTTTGGACTTCTGAAGTTCTCTCTGAGCCAGCTCACACGTTCTTACCAATCGCTCCTTCAGGTCAAGCACATACTGGTAAGTAGTTTTCACTTCCGGGTCCTTCTCCTCCTTTGTCCACAGTTCCTTCAAAACTGCCATAGGTCCCCTAACATTACGTGCATAAACTAGATCAAATGGAGAAAATTTAGTGCTTTCTTGTGGAACTTCTCGATAAGCAAATAACAATGCTGGTAAATATCTATCCCAGTCTTTTGGTCTTTCAGAACTCATTTTCCTTAACATTGACTTCAAAGTACCATTGAACTTTTCTACTAGTCCATTACATGCTGGATGGTATGGAGTTGTTACTAATTGCTTAAATGATAAAAGTCGACCCCCCTCTTTCATAATGTTGGAGGTAAATTGCGTACCCATGTCTGACAGTACTTCTTTTGGAATGCCAACTCTGCTGAATATCTCTACCAACGCTTCTGCCACCGTCTCTGTATCGATGTTCTTCAATGCAACCGCCTCTGGATACCTAGTACTGTAATCTACAACAGTCAAAATGTATCTATTGCCTTTGTCAGTAATTGGAGAAAGCGGACCTACCAAATCTACGGCTACCCGTTCAAATGGTGTATCAATAAGTGGCATTTTCTCCAACGGAATCTTCGTCACTTTGCCCTAAGGAAATGTTCTTTGGCATATGTCACATGATTGGCAATATCTCGTCACGTCACCCTGGATTCCAGGCCAATAGAAATTCGACATGATGCGGTCTAGAGTCTTCTTTGTACCAAGATGTCCGCCTAGGATACTGTCGTGCGCAATCTTCATAACTTTCTGTCGCAAAGGTTCTGGAACAACAAGTTGTTTATACAGTTTTTGATCACTAACCTTTTTTGAATGATAATGTCTGTACAACAGTCCTCTTTCAACACTAAACCATGTCTCTATATTTTCACCTATGTTCTTCTTTCTGCCAGTCGCTGCATGCTCACGATACACTTTCAAGGAAGAATCGTCCATCTGAAGTTGTTTCATCTGATCAATTGTCAAATCAGTATCCACTAAATCTGTAACTTTTAGCTTTTTCATACCTTTGTCTTCTTTTTTCTTTTGATTCCTTGTCTGTACTGCTTGAAGAACTTGATTACACTCTTCTCTTTCGTCCTTTCTACACCACTGTGGATCAGGATCCGTCTGATTTCTGGCACCATCGATGTTACCTATGATAAGATCGTAAACAGGTTCTTTCATACATAAAGCATTGATATTACCTGTGAAGTAGGGAGTGTCCACATAGATAGAAGCCTCCTCTACTGTACGAACTGTGCCGTCTATCAGAACACATCTCTGCACTTGTCCAGTCAGCTGATCATCTGTAACCAAATCTCTCTTCACAACAACACCACTACAACCCGAGTCTCTTAACACTTTAACAAAGTTCTCACCGACATAACCCATAGCAATGGGCATCTTTTCACAAACCTTACAGACGCCTCCAATAACAGGTAATACGTGTCCACATGCAAGTTTAACAAGTCCGTCTGTGACACAACACTGCAACAGTTTATGTTGAGGGATGCATGCTGATCCTATGTGAGGCTGATTTTGATGCGATATTGCGTTGTCCGTCCTTACTTCAGCAGAATTCTGTAAGTTGGAACTAGAATTGTCATTAGATTTTATGCAATTCAACTCACAGTTATGTTGACTCTGTAACATCGCAGCCTTTTGAGTATTGTGCGAAGTAGGTACTGCACGAGGAATTTTCTGCTTGGAGAAACAGTTTCTTGCCAAATGACCACTTTTCCCACAGATGTAACATTTTCTCTCACCTTTTTGCTGTGCTGATCCTTGGTACGCCTGTTGTCTTTTTAATGGATCCACTGTTGCTACTCTGAACGCTGTAAGTGCTTGATGGTTGCTTCTGAAAAACTTGTAAGTCTTTAGTGAATGAAGTATAACCATGAGCTTCAATAAATTGATCTGCGAGTTTTGACATTTCTTCTACGCTCTTCGGATGTCTTTCTTTAAGATACATTCCCAACTGCTTACTACAACTGTTTAAAA